GTACTGTTCTTGCACAAAAGTCCATCATTCTTCTGACACTGGTCTCTGAATGACACCTAATTTTCTCATCCAAGGCTTATTTGGCCAAGTTATCTACTTTAAAGAGGACACGTACTGCCGAGAAGCTTTGTGCAAAATACGACCCTGCCTCGAAATGTCCTTCCCTTATATGGTACTATTTCGCCCATTCCTACATCCGATCTTATCCACCATTTTCCCAAACTTCTCTAAATTCCTACTTTCCACCTTTTCGCGGAGAAATTCTTCCAGTTTCCTCAAAAAAATAGCTGCCGAGGGGTGCGGAGGAGAGCGAGGGAAAACAAATAATTTTCCAAACATTTTCTCCGAAAGCAGTTTCCTAAGAAGCGATTACAACCCCCTCCCTTTCACCGACCAAATACAACCCCCTCGCTGGGGATCCCCAGCGTACAGCGTGCACTGATCCCGAACCTATTTGATGACCTTAATCAGCAACTCGTCGACTTCTTCGACACCACTCTTCGTTGTACTGGAAAAAGGAGTCAGTATGAAAAGTAGGGATGAAAAAAAACACCATATTGAAAAGACTAGATCACGGTAATCATCATCATGTATCGACTATGCCAGCCATTAGACGCTGGCATAGTCGATACATCATGATGATTACCAGCGGAAGTGCATCCAGGAATGCTTGCCTCTAGTGGAACGTTCCGATATGATTCTCTTTTTAAAATGCTTTCGATACCAATAAACTTAATACATTATTGTAAGCCCGCTGGCCGTCTACACTATGTGTGGCCGATGGAAAATAAGGTTCAAAGAAAAAAATTTAGCGATCAAAGGGCATAATAAAACAAAAGACATACCGAATGACAAGAAAGCGGCGACTACTGCTGAGACGGTGTAAGATTTTCCACGAAGAGGTAAATTTGGCAAAATCAAGCGAAGGAGGAAGCATCCAAGTATCTCGAAACAAATCACCAAGGGAAATGCAATCTGGAAATAAATTAGAATTTTTGCATCCAAGAGGGGAACATTTCCTATTAGAACGATCTTATTACCTTGTAGTTGAGGGCACAGGCAGTATTAGTGAAGTTTTCGAAATGAGCGGTGGAATAAGACAGGGTATGATACCAAAGTGTTCGAGCCAGGCGGAAAGCGCTGTAACCACCGATTGCCTCCGCTGATAGTAGAAGAAACAGTCGTGTGTACCTGAAACACTGAACTTCTCCTCGGAACACGCGAAAATTACAAGTATATTCGGAGGTCATAGTAGAAAAAAAACAGTCGAGCTTTCGATGATTCCGTTCCACTCGGTTCCAATACTGGTATCAAGTTCAGGTATTGAACAGATCGTAAAACAGAGAAGAACAACCAACCCAATAATGCCGTAGAAGAAGGCCTCGATCGGAGCCAACGGACTAACGAAGGCTCCTCGATTTATGAACGATCCTACGGTAAGTAATGACATCACAGTGAAGAAAAACGCCATAGGCCCGTAGTATTTCACCATTACGCCTGCAATTTTGACTGATAAGTCCGCATTTGGATAGCTCAGATATTTTCAAACATGTTCCTATGTGCGTGGAGGCTGCTAGTCGATCTAAGAACTTCAGTGATTTCCCGAGCCGGCGCCCCAGGTAACGGAGCCCCGCGTCATTTGATTGCATACAAAGGAACACTTTTGGACAAAGTTAAAAATATAAGACATAAAGCAGTTGGCACGATAAATCTCTGATAATAGTAAGACTGCGCCTGGCAGGACGGAATTCCGCGCCCCAGAGCAGGCGCTGCGTAGCGCCTTTTCCAGGAAAGGTAGCCTCATAAGGCCCCATCAAGCTGCAACTAACACGGATGCACAGCGCCGCGCCGCCCCCGACAATTGAACGAAACCGTACCGATCTGATTGCTTCATTATGCTAATGTAATTCACGCACCCCCCCCCCATCACCCGACTAGACAAGCAAACGGAATTGATCGTGAAGACGGTCCCGTGCTGCATGGAATTATGAGTACCTTACATAACGTACAGGCCGTAATCTACCGCATTGAACTAGCCCGTAACGTTATTGTAACGCATGCGTAATGGAGCTCCCGAACAATCGCTCCTGTGATAATTAAGAACGAAGCTTTTCTTTGCAGCTTTTTGACCTTCATTTCGTTTTTCGCCATGTTCACACTGATAGCATTTTGGACTAATTGTGAGTTCCAAATCGTGCCTTATGCCTTCAAAGTAAGCTGCCTTCCGCGTCCTTTGTGAGCGCTCAATATGCCCCTGCACAAAGGCGAATCTTAGGAAGAAACTGATGGTTGCAGTCCTTCCAAGAGCAATTAATAGGCCCTGCTTTTTGATGTAAAGAGAGACCCAAGCTCGCTGGACTTCTGTTGAAGCGTGAAGCTCGTGTGGAGCTTCGGCAGAATGCTGTGGTTAGAAAACACTATGCATGATAAGCCTAATTCCGGCCCAAATCCAGCGCCCATTTCTGTTCCCGGAGTGTGAGCTGCTGTTATGTAAAGAAGAGAGTACGCTTCAGGATGAAAGCACATCGAAGCGCTCTGGCTCAATAACGATATGCGTGGAGTATGCCTTCAAATCAGCGCTGTGCCCTATTAGCAAGTCCAGCAGAACTTAATGAAAGACGGAACTCTGTGAAGTTCGCTTGGCCTGAACTGATCCTATTTGTCGCGAACGCTTTCTTCTCACTATGATTACATGAATATAATTGGCTGGGATAACTTACTGTTCTCATAAACACACGTGCACATTTGAGCAGTGGCGATTAATTCGATAGCAAAGATATACAATGACGAAGATCTATGAACCATCTTATCAAGCACCTGAAATCACCGTATCAACAATGCTAATGCATCGCCTCGCACAGTTCATCAGATTTTGCCTTTCTAGAGAGTGCAGGAAGGACTTCATATCCCGAAAATAAGGCGGGCGTGACTGTTTACTTCATCTGGGCGTAGCGGTGGCTGAGCTTCTTATAGATTATTGCAATCATAAATTTGCCCAGCTCTAGGGAGGATTATAGCAACCTCACACGAAAATATGACGGGGAAACGTGTCCTAATCCATGTTAAAAATGAGGCACACAGTCACGCCCTCCCCATCTCCATTATATGGTATCATCCAGGTCTACGGACATCTTGAACAATTCTTTGAAAGCGTCGAATTTGTGTGTCTTCACTGCTCTCGTGCTCTCCTCGTCAGCGCGTGGTCAACTTCCATGGGTCACTGTGACTTCAACATTAACTTTTCACGTATGATCCAGTAGATCACTCATCACCGGAATCCCCTCCTCTTGAAAAGCTCGTTTCATGACTCGCCGTAGTTCCTGAGTCCCGATGCTTGCAGGGTAATTCTATTGTCTGCGTCTCTCGTTGCGCGAAGCAGGACGTGCCTGCACAATGATTCATGAATGACGAACATTGGCAGCAAAAATACGGGGGAGGGGACGGGAGAGATTCTGCCACGCTACCGTGATTCGGTGCCTGACTTCAGCGAGGTCGCTGGTCTCTCCACCACTGTACACCGCCCTGTTGAGCTCCGCACGAACCCGGTAATTCAGGGGTTTAGGTAAAGCTACACATTCGGATATTCCGTCTTCTTCAGGTTCTCAGCGCCCTTCGCTTCCAAGTAGGCAAGAGTTTCTCGGTTCCATGTGCTGGCACCGAATCCTATACCAGTACGAAGTTCCCAAGATGGTACAGGCGACGACATGAAGGCAAGATATTCTCCTCAAGTTGGATGATGTAACCGCAGCGTTCACTTTCAGTCCGGGGTCCATGAAGAGAATATCCGTCTTTCCAGTCCAGGAACTTCCGGTCCATACCATCAACCCGTGACTTGGCGACTGCGGGGAAGATGATATCTGGACGTAGCGACGTTTTCGGGGCTGCTCGACAGTTGGAGGTCTTCCAAGACAAGAGATGCCGGTCCACAGGTAGCTGTCATGGGTGCCAACCACAGATTTCGCAGCTTGGAGATGACGTAATCCCGTAGGCTTCTTCAGTCAGGCTGCAATTGGAGATGGCTTCATATTTTGATGTGCATGAAGGTGATGGACGAGGGCCTGCACTTGCTTACCGGGAACATCTCGGGTATCTTCCGCCCTATACAGGGGGGGCAAAAAAAAGTCATTTTTGGCCTCCATGACTTTCAAGCCTATAAGTACATTTTATTAAATTTTTATTCGGACATTTTTACTACCATATTAAAGAGCGCATTAAATACTATAATGATACTCCGCCACAGCCTTCTGGAGGAGCGCCATCGAGAGATTCGGCCGCGCGAAAGTGAGTGGGTACCGGAGTTGAGCGAGATCGTTGATTTCTCCGCCACTGTAGACCACCCTGTTGAGCTCCGCCCGAACCGAGTAATTGAGGGGGTTTAGTTCAGGACCCCCGCTTAAATACTCCATCTTTTCCAGGTACTCAACGTTCTTCCATTCCAAGTAGGCGAAAGTTTTTCCAACGCCCTTCGATTAAATGTGTTGTCACCCAATCCTGTAGCAGTACAAAGTTTCCAAGAAGGTACGGGCGACGACATGAAGATGGGATATTCTCCTCGAGTTGCTCGATGTAGCCACAGCGCACACCCTCAGTCTGGGGCCCACGAAGAAAATATCGGTTCATCCATTCCAGGTACGGCCGGTCCACACCATCAACCCCGCGCACTTGGCATATGGTGAAGATGATGTCGCCTGGACCGTAGCGACGTTGCCGGAGCTGCTCGAATGTTTGAGGTCTTGCAGATCAAGAGTACTGGATCTCCAGGTAGCTATCCATGGGTGATTCCATTCAAGAAGTTCCGCAGCAGTTTGGAGGCCATGTGAATTCCAAAGGCGTCGTTCTCACTCGAACAGCCGGCGACTGGAGATGACTTTCATATTTTGGTGTACATGAAGGTGAATGGCGGCAGCCGGCTCCTGCTTATAGAGGAAGATCTTGGGTATCTTCCGCCCTGGTACTCATATCCACTTCCTCTGTCTGGGCTGCGAAAACTTCGCTCATATGTGACTCGGCCGGAATGACTTTTTTTTGCCCCCCCCCCTGTATATCGACATCTACTCGTATCCACGTCTCAGGTCTGGGCTGCGTAAACGTTACTGTTATGTGACTCGGCCAAAGTGTCTTTTTTGGCACCCCCTCCTGCATCCGTAACCTCGTATTTCCCAAATGACATGTCTCCGAGGAAAAAAAGGTCTTTAAGGATGTAGTTTCGAGACCAGGGTCATTCAATGTATTCTTGCGTCTCTGCCCCGCGACTCCGTTCCATCAGAACAATTCGCAGCCGTCCACCGCGTTGAGACCTCCTATTATAGAGACCAAGCTCAATATAATCGTCGTCAGCGTGGGGCTCCGATAATATCTTTCGAGACAAACACCTAGTGCAATGAATTAGGGCCGGTTTCTCCAACGGCATTGACTTTTCCGAATTGAAGAGCCTCTTTCGATCCGCCAACACCTGCACTGCTCTTCTCCATCAAGTCAGAAACGGACTGTAAACAACCTGACGGCCCCTCCTTCGTTTGTTGACAAAGATCGACCAATCAATTTCACATGTTAGTATAACAACCTTTCTGGTATTTCTGCAATAGTAGTAAATACAATAATATAGTAAATGACAGCAGACACAAGAGGATAATAGAAGGAGATGTCGTTGGAGATCATTCTGAAAAGCGATTCCATTGATTATGAATAGAGCTCCAAAACGTTTTTCTTTTCACGGCATACGATCTCACATACATAAACACTTTGATGACCTTTACCATTACGTCAAACATACTTACAGAAAAGAACTCGGAATAATATAAAAAGTCGCTTCTTAAAAACTCAAATGCTTTTATCAGGGATGAAACCGATGAACCTGCAAGATGTCCGCATACACCCTATACCCAAAAGAAGGATGGCTAGTCAGATTGACCGGCTTTGCGGGTGCTCCAAATGATTTTTTAAAATTTCCATTTTTGTCCGTTTCACTCGGCGTGTATGCCCCCCCCTCCCCTTCTCTCCCACCCCTAGCAGGGAGTCCTCTTTTTTTTCCTATGCCGCCATTCTTGTAGACTGGCTTCCGTGGTTTGAGAGTTAAGGCCGTAAAGTGTAATTTTCCTGCTGCTCGGCTAATTCCGGTTCTTCAGCGTGGGTACGCAAAACCTTTCGGATTATGAGAATGAAGCCAGGGAGGTAGAAAAAGTAGCAGAACATCAATAATAGAGGAGGTAGTAGTTTGTAACAAAGTCCTGGCCACTGCAGGTATCCTGTTATCCCTTGAGCTAAGAGTGGGCGTGTATTTGAACATGCACGGAACATGTTATTGTGGAATAATTCCAGTCTTGGCAACTGTCATCTTGTTCTGTGTTGGACAGAGACACGACAACAATATGTTCAAGATGAAAATATCTCACCAGAAGCATAAACACCTCCAGGTTAAGTTGAAACATGCGGCCACGCCTACCCGATCTCAGGGATTTCGAGTACACATATAGATCCCCTTCCGCCGAATCCTTTCATCTCGTTTCGTTTTTTTCCGTTCCCAGGCTCACCTGGACTTGAGCCCGCTTCATAGCAGCTATGCTTTCTTTATCACACCCTCCTACTCATTTCCCTAATACTTCCAACTTCCTACTTTCCGGGCTCTTGTAGGCAGGGATAGCCGAGTGGTTTAAGTGTAGACTCAACGTTCACGACCGCTAAGCCACGAGTTCGATCCCTGCCGAGGCACAAACCTGCCTTGCAAAAATTGCAAAAATGGGGACGATACCAGCGTCAGGCCCAGGTTGACAGGCCGGCTGATGGAGGAACCCGTCACAACAATCATGACAAGTCGCAATAGAATCAGTGTTAATGCTAGGACGTCACCCGGAAGTGGCGCGCAGAACCCTCGCCCGAGTTCTGTGGTCAGTATGCGAGGGCTACCGAGGGGTGAACGACCTCGGCCAAAGAAGCTAGTTCGAATTGGGACCTGAACGTGGGGTCGCTTACCGGGAAGTCTCGTGAGGTTGCCGACCTCATGAGACGAAGGAATATCCAAGTCCTATGCCTTCAGGAAACGCGATGGAAGGGTGCGAAGGCGCGCGAGATTGGAGAAGGCGTCAAACTCTTCTACAATGGAGCAGACACCAAACGGAATGGCGTGGCCATAGCGGTGGCAGAATCCCTGAAGGACTGCGTCGCCTCTGTGAACAGAACCAGTGATCGGATCATGGCAGTGAGAATGGACACCAAGGAAGGGTACTGGACAGTACTGACCGTGTACGCACCACAATCCGGTTGCTCCGAGGCGGAAAAGGATGAGTTCTACCTGGCCCTGGACGAGGCCATAAGATCGGTTCCGGAAGATGACTACCTCACCATAGCTGGGGATCTGAATGGCCATGTGGGAAATGACAGAAGAGGTCTAGAAAGGGTGCACGGAGGCCAAGGAATAGGGGCAAGGAACGCTGAGGGAGAACGGATCCTTGACCTAGCCACAGCCCACGACTTAGCAATCTGCAGCACCTTCTTCGCGAAAAGGAGGACTCAGAAGATAACCTACAGCAGTGGAGGGAGACAAACGGAAATCGACCATGTCCTGGTCAGAAGATCGTCTCTCAACCGTCAAGGATATCAAGGTACTGCCTGGGGAAGAGCTGGGCCCTCAGCACAGGCCTCTCCTGGCAGACATCGCCATAAACCTCCCCAAGAAGACAAGGGTGAGAGCAGAGCGAAGAATTCGGTGGTGGAAAATGCACAAGGTAGAAAAGGATAGCCTTGGCAGAAAAATACTGGAGGCTGGGCTCCCAGACCCACATGGGCCAGTCCAGGACACCTGGACCTCA